TCCCCCGCCCCCCCTCCCGCTCTTTTTTTTTTTTTAATAGTTGCCACTACCGTCCACCACCCCTACTATTTCCAATACCTCTATCACTCGGACCACCCCGCTACGAGTCTTACCACAGTTACCACAACTACTACTTTCTTTGCGTTGACGCTGCCACAAAGGTGGATTTCTACTTTGCTTAGCCCAAAGAAACCCGAAACCACTGACACCCAAAGACAACCGCAGAAAAGTCCCCATTATAGTTCCTCTCTCCTCCTACTTCTCCTTAGTTAAGTGGGATGCCTTTTCCGGAAGAACGCCTAAAGAAACCCTAAAGACAAGAAACCGAGCCCAAAGAAACCCGAAACCAGTGAAGCTAAAGACAACCGCAAAGAAGTCCCTAGTAAGTGGAATACCTTTTCTGTTCCCTCCCTTTGTCACTGCCACGCTGGCTTTGGTGCTTCGTCCCCTGCCCTTTCTCCTGCTCCTAGTGCTTGTAAAGCACTCCCAGCAGAAGCAAAAGCAAGAACAGTACGGGAAAAAACGTGAAAACAACTTCAGGAAAAAATGTGAAATAAAGTCCCGGAAAAAATATCAATCCTTTTTTTTAGGTTCCTCCACTCCGGAAGTCGACTGAGTGGGTTTCTCTACGTGATGCAAAAGAAAAGGGGTTTAGGACGTCCCAAAATACCCGATGACATGAAACAACCCTTCTTTCTTGGTACCTGAGGATCATTTCTTTTTCGTCAGAGGTGGACCAAAAACGGTAGCTCCTGGCCTTGCTACTAGGAGCAAGGACGCTACGAACGGGGCTGCTGGAATCGCTACTAGGAGCAAGGACGCTACGAATGGGGTGGGTAAACTATTTCCCTCGCTCATGTGGAGCTGTGGCATCTCTTTCTCCAGGGCTGGCAGCATCTCCTTCTCCTCTCTGGCGGGGGCTGCCACCCGAGCTGTGGCAGACCGACGTGGCTCAAGTCGTTTCCTGGCAGAAGGAAAGGTGGGATCCAGCTGAGCTGTTTCAGTTGGAAACAACAAAGAGAGCCGTCCTGATAAAACGAGAACCCTTCGCTACGTACTTGGGAAAAAACATCTATACATATTTTGTATAACTAATATATAATATACAATGCATATATTATATATAATATATATATATTGGACCATTGAATGGGGTCTCTGTTGCAGACCACTGAATAAAATGCCCATTGGACACTTGCTTGGATGGTCCGCAGGAACCGGTTGGATTTCTGGGACGGATCAGCGGTTCGATAGGCCCAGCGGAGCAACGCGGAGGTCTTGATCTGCTCGCGGGTTTCCAGCCACTTTTCCATTTTAGTCATCTACCAATATGGAGACAGTGACAAAGCCAGCCAAAGAAACACCATTGCTCAAAGAATCCACAGGGCCACCGTGTGCTTTGAAAGAGATATTAATGAACCCAAAGAGCTCCATCTCACCTTTCCCAGTCTGCCTCACCTCTGCCGGCTCCCAGCATGCTTCTTCGGCCCGACCTCGGTGACCCCTTGGGGGTGCCGCGCCGCCCATGGCGGACGCGGATGCCACGGAGTCGCTGGTCTCATCGGAGTGCTCCGATGACGACGGAGGGCTGCAGTTCATGGATCAGGTTGGCTTTTTCGTCGCGGTGAAGCGGCGTGCGGGTGGTGGGCAGATGGAACTTCTCGGCAGATTTGGTTGGGGGGAGGGTAGAAGTTCCGTACTGACTGCTGGTGCTTGGGCTGAGAGAAGATGTAGTGCACCCTTTTTGGGGGAAAGGGGGGACAAGTATTGAGAAGTTGGACGGGTTGGATCAGAAGTTGTTGATTTGTTGTTGTTCATGACCTGAGCATTTTTTGATCCAACAGTCATAATAAGGTGTCAATGTTGAGGGTTACGGGTTGGAACTGTCCTGCGTTTGAAATCCCCCAAACAGTGATTTTATGTGATTTTAATCTCAGTCCGTGCACCCGTGGCCCACAGGTTTGCCCCTGTACATGTCTTGGGATTCGGGGTGAGCCTGCCATATGTATCACCAAATTATTGGAGCAGGGATGAGGATGGAACATGGGCTCACATCGTATGATTTTTCAGATTTAATTACCCATCATCAGCCAACGGCCGACAGTGATTTGGGCAATGGCGGCAATGGGGTGATTTCAGATCAAAGTCGATCAATCTACCCCGGGAAGCTTGCGAACTTCGCAGCTTTGGACAGAGCCGTCTTTACAAGCGCAACTTCTTTATTGCGCTTCTTCATCTTCCCGCATTTTTCGCGTTTGTTCCTTTTCGTGTTTTTCAATGTTTTCCTTACTCAAACTTGAGAAGGCAGGCATGTTTGCCTCGAATGAGTGATGGGACCAAGCAGGTTCGTGGTGGGATGCATAAATCATAAGAGCTTTTTTAAAGAACTCTTTTAGTTGGTGGACTTGATTTCTATGGATCTTCATAAATACCTGTTGGAAAGTCGCTGTCATGTCATTACCAGCTGTGGAAGACGTGTTTAACACGTCGCACACGATCTCCCTGGACGCCTCTCGTCGCGCTGGTGAGGTGGAATTGATGCCCAAGGACCCTGTGGAGCGGTGCTTCTCCTGGCGAACCTTCATGGCCTACTGTGGCCCTGGATGGCTCATGAGCTTGGCATACTTGGACCCAGGGAACCTCGAGTGCCGAGCTGAGCTGCACTCAAGCGCTCAGTAGCTAAAGCCTTTTCCATTCTCTTCAGGCCTGGATTCTTATGATTTCTTATGGATGGATATATGGTACTTGTATGATCTGGTATTCATGTATGATCAATTTGTGGAAAGAGAGTACCGACACGTCTATTTCTTGGATTAAGGGGCGATTTGCAGAGCGGAGCCTTTGCTGGCTACAGCCTTCTGTGGGCCTCTTGGAGGAAAGATCCATCATCGCCAGCCCTTGGGATTGGAAATGGAGGTAGAAAATAAGAAAATTGTAGAAACATAAAAGTGGATGAGGTACCTAAAAATGGTGCTTTTGACCTACGGATTGCTTTTTTTTTGTTTATTATGTTCTTTTTGCCTATATAGCTAGGATGAGATTTAAAGAACGCGGAACAAGCCTGGGGCAAAGAGCTGACACGAGCGGAAAAGCAAAAAAGTGGAGCACACTTCCATCACCGGGTTTCCCCACATGGAACGAACTGGACGTGGATCTCGCGCAAGCCGTCATGCGTAAAAAGATGGACCATGCATGTTTGGAGTCCAAACATTTTTTCCGTATCACTGGTTTTGCTATGTTTTGTTCAAGATTATGTTTAATTATGTTATTTTTCCTAGACCAAGTTTTTGAATTCTTCTTGTGGGGAATAGAATATTTTCTTTCCCAGCTCCAGCAAATCCCAGACCTCGACTCAACGACGAACAGCGACGGCAGGTCTTGCTGGTGTGCGCTCTGGCGGGGTTGAGTCTGCAAATCCTCGCAGCCCGCCTAGCAGTGGTCACAGGATGGGCATCGGAAGTTCGATTCATCCAATCTCCATGCAGTGAAACAGTCAGCGCCAGCGCCCGGGCTGGAGATGGGTATTAAAGATTGAAGGTTCATGAAGATTCTGAGTACGCAACAACTGAATCTGTATGAATGTGTGGAACATGTTGGAACCAGATGGCTGATCCATGCTACATCCAACTGGCCTGGCGGCTATCGGGCCGATGCTTCGTCGCGTTCTCTTCGGGCCCTTCGGGATGAAGGTGCGTTCGGGGTTGGTTGGTGGACGGAGAGGTAAGGTCTCTACGTACGTTGCACCTACATGGAGACTGTGCTCAAGTCCTTCTTGACTCAGGGTCACCAAGAATAGGATGTGGGTAGGTCAAAACCAGCCCAGTCAAGCATCCTTGCCCGCCTCCATCCTTGCCCACCGACGCTCACCGACCACCCTCCTACGACGTGGCGAGGACGCGACTTGGCGCAGACGTGCCGCGCAGAGTATCCACGGCCGTTGAGCTTGCTACTGTGGCTGATGACGGAGTTGGCCATCATCGGTGCGGACATCCAGGCAGGTGCCTTCCGTCGATTTCGGGTGCCTTTCTGACGGAGAGCTGCGAAATGCGTGCTGCGTGCTTAGATGGGCCAAGGGGGCAGTTGGAGCTTCGCAATGCAGTTGTTTGTCTAATATATGAGCGGGCGATCACCCCCAAGGATGGGAGAACTTGGTCGTGATCTCATCGAAGTGCTCTTGCACAACAACAGGATTTCTATAATCCAGCTCAAGATTTGGCGCGAGGATGTTCTATGAGACTATGCTCTGCTTTTCCTCGAAAGACTTGAAAGGCCTTTGATGTTCAACCCTGACAAGCCCTGAACTCTTTGGAGGTTGGGTCACGGCACCGTTAATATCATTGTAAATGTCCAGTCATGTTCGAAACCCAGATGGAATTCTCCCGAAGTCGACATCCCAAACCTGCTGCCAAACCTGCTGGCTTTTGAACGCTTGGTTTTGGACAGTTCCAGTCTCATCCAGTCTCATCCAGTCGCATAGAGTGCCTGGGACCTGTCGATCGGACGTGCGGTCTGCGTGCTATCGCTATCGCAGGAGGTGGTCGGTACCGGCATAGCGCTGAAAGTCCTGTTGCCTGGCATCGCGGTTCCAAAGCCAATCATTTTCGCTGGCAGGTGTTCAATGGTTTTCAGCCTTTCCCCAACTAGTCCGACGAGTCCGACTCACCAAAGATAGCTTGCAAAGGGGAAAGGCTGGGGAATACTGGCATGGTTGTGAGGTGGTGAAGGTGACGGGCCGCGTTAGTTCTATACAATTTGTTTGTTTTCATGTTCTGGTGTCATATTTGTGTGGTGCCCTTGTTTTTGGGGTCAAACAAACGCCGAAAGAATCGCCTTCTGCGTCCAAAGAAAAGCCACGGCCTTCTTGTATCCAAGGTTGGGTTGGCCCCTTTGGCTAGGCTCCCTCTTTACGGGTCTCGACACCTTCACCTTCTTGATGATCCACTACATGGGGAAGAGGCCTCGATCGGACTGGTGGATGGATTCGGACTAGTGGGGTGCAAGGTGATGCGACCCACAAAGAGGAATCCTGTTAAACTATGTTAAATTCAAGTCTTACTTTAGGGAATAGTTAGGCCACCCGTTGTTTTGGCTCGACACATTTTAGCAATTTTTCTACCCACGGATTCTGCTTCAGGGTCTTGTGTACACTGGATGGTGTTGTCTTTATTGCCAGACATTGCATGAAGAAATCCGAGGAAACTCGCATGTGAATGAGTCTCGCAAGATGCAATCTTGTCAACTAGCCATTGCGTGACGCGTGGTTTCAGGTGGATTGCTCTTCGACAAAGTGAGGTACACATGTCGCATGAAGACCATGCAACGTCACCTGATTCTCTTGGCCACCATGATGTGTTTTTCCTTATTGATTGATATGATTGTCGTGTTACTGTATGTCTTGGTCCTGAACCAGTGGTCTAGCTGCCAGATGATACTTCACACACACACACATGACACACGACACACACACACACAGAGAGGTCTCACAGAGGGAATAGAGTTCGCCCAGATCATTCGGGTATATTCAGCTGGTTTTCCGGTTTTCCTCATCTTAACAGTTAAGTTAAGTGCACCACTTCTTTTTGTGTGTGGCATCGTCAGGTGGCTGGAGGCCTTCATTTTGCTCTTGATCTTCATCACAACCATCTGCTTCATGGAGTTTGCTCTAGCAAACCTTTTTGTGTGGAAGCAGCAAGCTAGGAGGAAATTGTTGATGAGCTTTTTTTGACAATGGTGATTTGATTCCTGGGGGAGGAGGTGCAGTCTACAACTTACACTTTGAAACTATGGCTGCTTCCAATTGCTGGCCGTCGAAAACCACTCTGCAGCCAAGTAAATCCTGGTGTACTATAGTGGGTCTTCAACGACTACCTGCTGGATCCTCCCAGTTGAAATTGTTGCGAACGTAGCATGAATGGAATTCTGTGGTGTTCACCTGACTTAGAGATACTTAGAGCATCTTAGAGCTTTTTGATGCTTTTTGTTCAGATCTCTTACTCTTTCTCTCATTAGACTCTCATTCTTTCTGCTTTCGGGAAACGGAACCTCCGGTCCCCTGCCTCTCGCGCCGGATCGGCGGATCCTCGGAGGGCTTTTCCAGTCGGTCCTGGCGGAGCGACTGGTCCCACTCGACCGGTCAGCCAGGTCGAGCCCAACTCTAGTTGTAAACTCTTTGAGGACCATACACTCCCCATATGAAGAGGATGTTCCATTCAAATGGGGGGTTATTAATCAAGAGTCTACATTAGGCCATGATCTATGTCCTTCTTCATGATCTCGACCCACCAGGCTTCTTCATGAACTTTGCCTACATGCCGCCCTCGGCTGCAGGGCTTCTGGGCGGATTCAGCTTCCAAGTGCCTGACTACGCCGTTGCCTCTCGACCAAACTCGGCCGACTGGTGATGAAGCATCGGATGAATCACTGGGTGAACATGAAGATTGCCGATGGAGCATAGGGTGGAGGGGTGATGCTGATCCCGGACTGAGGGTGGTGGTGGTGGTGGCGGTGGCGGTGGTGGTAGTGGGGTAGGTGGTGGAGGGGTGTTAAGACTGTTTGAAATCGGCTGAAAGGAAATGAATCCCGGATTCCCCCCGTGTCTTTTTGACTCCGAGGGGTCTAACAAAAACAACTGCCAGGTTGTAGTGTATGGTCATCCTCAAGGTGAGGGAACAGGGAGAAACCAAGAATCACTAGTCTTTTGCATGTGGCACAGAAGCTGCGCGGAGAATCTGTGTGCAATCATCAGGGTGGACCCTGATCTGTGCTGATTGGGTGGACCTCCGGGTGCCAGGCAGACAGGCTGTAGGTGGTCCTGGCTCCCTAACAACATGTCTTTTCGTGGGTGATTTGACCCATCCGCGTTCATCCCAGCAGACCAACCGCAGACTTTCGCGCAGAATTCGGTGGCGAACAGGTGCAGATGGTGGGGACCATAGGCGGTGGCATCATGCCCCACAACTTATACCTCCACAGCGGCATCTGCAAGCAGCGCGCTTGCGACCGGAGTGATGATGAGCTCTTTGTCTCAGAATTCTGCGAGTCCGCCGTGCAGAACATCTTTGCGTGTGAAGCAAAATCCCTTTGACCCGAGAGAATCTGTTTGACTACAAGGAGGTATTCATGGATGGCAACCGTGCAGAAGGTAAGCCAATCTTTGTGAGGATGGTATGAGTTGTGGAACCGAGCATCAAGCTGCCAGTGACTGGGGTGTTCCAAGAGAAAAGCTAAACAAATTGACGGTAGAAATTAATTAATGTGCTTGGGATTCTGGGCTGATGTCTTCAGTGGACACAGATGTTTTTGGTGTTCCAGAAGTTGGACTGGACTGGTTGCGACAAGGGTCTTATTGGACCGCTGAGGCATGTGAGGCAGGGCGTGAAGTACACCGCAGTCGATGCGGCCATTGCTGCTCGTGTGGAAGACTCGACTCAAGTCCCAGACTTTGGCGTTTCTTTCGCTTAGGGTCCCTGACCCCAACAAGCCAGAAAGTCAAACGCGACACCTCACGCTTTAGAGTTCATCCAGCTAGAATCTTGAGTCTCAAGCCAACCAAAAAGGAGCTAGCTGTTTTGTTTTTTTGCGTGCGTTCGCGATGTACGACCTCCCACTCCACCCTCAACGCTGTGGGCCAAGGCCCTGCTTTTGTCCTTTCTCATCAACGCCGCCTTGGCGCCTCGGTCACTGTGGCCGAGGCCAAGGCAAAGAGTGGAGACTCTGTTTGTGAAGACAACGCCAGTCCTTAGGGATCCACTGCCCCTCTGAGGTACCGTGAAGAAGGAGACACTGTTATGTAGGTGCCGGGAGGGTCCAGTTGTACCTTCTGAGACAGTACTTGGATCCCTAGGGAGTGACTATGGACTAAAGGTGCCATCGATCATTGAGCTAAATCACTTGTCAGGGTAATTGGTAGATTGGGAGGCTTGGTTGTCCCATATCTTGTCCTTCGCAGAGGGGGGTGGCTTATGGTGGCTTCTTGTGTTTGAGAGTGGAGCTCAAAACCAAGATGGAGCCTCTATGCACAATCATGAAGATGTCATTTCCGTGGAATCAATTTGTTCTCTTCTATCCTGCTCGTTGTGTTTGTCTCCTCAAGACCAGCTTTGAACAGAGACTAACTCCTCGAGAAGTTCAGCGGACTCCAAGGTGTCTACGTTCGCGACCGGATTTTTCAGCGAGACCTGCGCTGAACCTCAGTTGGACGTTTCAGAAGTGGTTTGCATGGACCTCAATCGAAAGATGCCTATGAAGTCTACGGTCTATGTCCATCTACTGTCCATCTATAGAGCAAGATTCATGCAATTTGAGTCGACGATTTCGCAAGCCAACAGCCTTCACTTTCCCTCGTTTATGATTGTTGAGTGGGACATTGCGGCAACCACGGAAGTGGAAGAGACCCTGGCAGTCCGTAGAGGAGAATCATGTTTATTATTCTGAAAAGAAGGCACCACGCAAATCCGCCAACTTGAAACCAAATCCTTCCATCAATGATGCGTGGGTCCTTGGAAGTTTATTCTGGGTACCATATGGGCTACTGGATTCATTTTGTTGGATTAATTTCACAGGATTCATTTTTTGGGGTGTGGGGTAAGGGGTAGACCCGTGCATTTGTCGGATTAATTGTTGAATGCTGACTAGAAAATGCGGTGCTAGAAATTAATCTATAAATTAATCTGGTGTATGTAACGTAATTGACACGCCAAATACATGACAGTTGTTATTGTCAATTATCATGTGTTTTCTCATCTTTGGATATATTCTGTATTTTTTGTTTTGTGTCTAGTTGTTTATTCCAGCCCTTGCCCTGATGTCAACAACCTGCAGAATATGTTCAACATGTTTCTGTCTTTGCTGTCCCTCTGATTTTGAAGGATTCTGAATGGTTTGGCATCCAGCCGAAACATTTCCAAATTTATTCAAGATACTTGATGTTGAGCCTGCTCAAGGATACCTACCATTTGTCCCTTTATTAACCCAAAATCTCAACACATCTCTTGATAAATATTTGTTTGACGTATGGTAGTATGCGGATTCGTTCAAAATTTATCTGGGGGTATGTTAGATGGGTATACTGCTAAGGACCCCAACATCTTCCATGTACTTCCCCAGAAGGACAAGACCGCGAAGAGACAGGCACATGAAGACCCTGGTGACATCACCATTTCCAGAGATGGCCTTCGCAAGACTTGGGTGAACTATTTCCAAGTGATGGCAGATGTCCGGTCACCTGACCGGGCTCCATCTTCCGCTCCTCCCATATTCTGCGGCTCCTCCCACGACGGCCGCAAACTCGAACGGAGCTGTGTTCGGTCTTCGGTCCCCCGGATGATGGTGCTCTAATTGCTCCACACTGCTAACTCACCCGGTTGTCCGCAATGGTTGGTGGTTTGGCTTGGTGGTGAATCTGAACGTTGCTTTGTGGTTTGGCTTCGTGTTCCCAAAGTGGTGTACTAGTTGATGTAGGTGGAGTACAGGGGAAGCAATGGCCAGATCTTCAGATCGCCACGTTTTTGGTCGTTCTTTTGTATGGCTCACGTAAGGTCTCTACACCCAGACCTGACACTTAGAAGACCGGCTTCGCCGAACTCAGGAACTGGAGGGTGGGCCCTTAGCATGCTTACCTGGCGCGTCGGGCGAGGCCAACGAGGCCCGGGAGTTCCAAAGGGGTAGCGTGAAGAATGGGCAGCACTATCTTCCATTAAGCACCCCTTTGGAACTGGTATATAGATTGTGTTCCCATAGTATTTGGTTCCCAAACCTTCATCTCTTGGCTCAAAGCGTCAAGTTTGGGTCAAATCGGTTCGCTTTTTTTTCCATCCGCTTTTTCGCCGGTCACAACCACACACCTGTTTGACTGTTGGTCCGTGCGTGCCGACGCCCAGACGTCTTGTCGTGGCATGTGCAGTCGAGGACACACATCCTAATATGCGCCTTGGACGTAGGTTCTGTAGGCAAAAATTATCAAGAAAGATTCGAACCCACGAAAACTAGAGAGAATCTCTCTGTTTTGGCTGGTAGGATCTTGTAAGGTCCTTTTGGCACGTCCTTTTGTTAGCTTCGTTTTTGGTATTTCGTGGTCACAAATGATTTCTCCCTGAAATACCTTTCTTCCAAATCAAAAATCCTTTCATCGCTAGTAGGTTGGAGGCCATAGCTAGTAGGTTGGAGGCCATCACTAGTAGGTTGGAGGCCATTGCTAGCTGTAACTTTAAAGACGATTGTATTGTAATTACACATTGTTCCACTCCAACCCTATCCAGGTTGGAGTGGCACCGGTGGCATGTGTCACGGGCACTGGCTCAGCTGGTCAGTGCGGGGACATTGGCTTGGCACAAGCGGGGGATACCCTGAAGCAGCTCTTTGGTGGCTACGGGAGATCTGGACGGGCCACTGGGCACGTGAAGTGACGAGACCAGTGACTGTGAAGTGAACGTCACTTTCCTTTGTTTCATTCACAGACTGTTTGATACGTTTGATGTGTAGTTGCTAGACTTGGTAGACTGTTCATGAATAATATAATATATATATAACCCCTGCCCCTCCCAATGTTGATTGTAAAATCATGTATATGAACAACTTCTTCATACCGGGGGGGTGAAATCCAATCAAGAGTCTACCATTTGTTGCTTCAGAGACGTTCGAGGAGACAGTTCACGGCGAGCAGGGCTGTTGGATGCTGTTGGAGGCTGTTTCGAGTTTCGTGGGATTAACAAACACTGCAGATTCTACAGATTCGGGAGTCATGACATTCACTTGAGGGAATCATGAAAACCATTGAACACCATTGAAATTCACTTGAAATTCACTTGAGGGAATCATGAAAGCATATGAAAGCCATTGAAAACCCACTTCTATCTTTCTTTCAACAACCTTCGGTGCCTCGCCTCCGCGCCGACCTTCGACCCTTCGGACCGGTCGAGACGTCGAGGTGATGTTTGCGGTGGGCCTGCTGGCTGCCGGGCAGGCGTCCACGATGACGGGCACCATGGCGGGGCAATATGTCTTGGAAGGTGTGGGACCGCGGTCGGTGGTGCGGTCGCGGCTCGGGGACGCGGCAGGGCCGAGGGGGGAATGGCGTAGGACGAAGAAGCACTGTGCACCTCTTGGAAGCACGTTGAAGTGTAGGAAGCCAGAGGTTTTCTTGGATTTCTCCTTCAAGGGCAAACTGGGCAAACTGGGAGGTAGGGTCGACCTAGATGTTGTGGCGGTGAACTTGAGATGTAGAGCAGAAATGCATCTTCACTATCATTAGGAGCATGGAGCACGGATCCGTCATCCTTTAGGTGGATCTCGGTGGTCATCCTTTATGTTCGGGTCACAGAAGTGGGGCGTGTCATCGACCTTCTCATTCAGCATGAGCGTGGATGAGCGTGGATGACCCGTGTTGACCACCGAAGGCTTCCTGGAATGGCACATCCCTGTGTGGCTGCGCGCGCTGCTCACACGGCTCATTAGCCTTGGCCCTGCAGTTGCTGTCGCGGTGTACACCAGTACCGAGCCCTGGCAGCTCTAGCAGCTCCAGCGGGATGGATCTGAGGGGAAATCCGCGCAATGGTTATATAATCATCTTGACTGATGAAGAACCCCCACCCCCACGCCCTAGAGATGTGCAAAGAGTTACAAAAGATGTGTCAAAAGATGCTAAAAGAAAAACAAACGCTCAACGGCGTTTTTGATTTGTTCTAACCTTTTCTTGAGATTGATTGCTCCCACGTGCACCCACTATACATGCATACAACATCATACAACTTTTTTTTGTATATGATGTTGCAAGTGGAAAGGCACCAACCAAAAACCACCATGCGGAGTGTTCGTTGGCCTTTCTTCTCAGGAGCCGAATCTGAACAACAAGTTGGACCAGCGACTCGGTCGATGGGTCCTCACCGAGCCGGTTCCGACGAGCCGCGGACGATTCAGGGGACGGTGGACGAGTCAGGGGCGGACGATCTTTGGGGATGGTCCGCGGTGACCGGGGATGAAAGATCCAGGTGAAATTGGTTCAATTCTGGCTTGGTGGGTGTAAAGGAGGTGGAATAGCTTGACACATGATGGACATGTCTCACACCCAAAAAATCGACGATGGTGGTCTATGCCTTCATGATCATTGATGCTGTTTTGTGTGACGCCTAGGGCCTATAGGCCTATAGGCCTATAGCAAAGAACTAGAAGAACTGAACAGAAACAGAGTGGTCCAGTGCTTCGCTCTTGTTGCGATCCGCACGTCTTCGCACGCCACCACGCCGGTGGCGGGGACAAAGCACGCACAGAAAGGGGATCCCTTCGGTCGAAGGGACCATCTTGTGACCCACCTACTGGGCGCCAAGTTGCGTCTTGGGCGATGTTTTTATGTTTTAAAGGCCTTGTTGTTTTCCAGGGTGGTGGCTTTAGATGTGTAGTTGGGCCAAAGAAGTGTCTTTGGGACTTGAGTCCCGAGTGAGCAGAACACTTGAAACTTGCTCGGTGCAAGAATGCCAAACGACAGAGTTTCGTCGATTTGGACGTGTTTCGTGCATTTGGTGAAGCGAAACCCACAAATTTGGTCTTAAAATGACTTAATAAAAACTCATTCTAGTCCAAGATATAAGATGAGAAAAAGCTAGACCATCAGATAATTTTCTAGTGCAAGACATGCAAGATATGCCATGCAAGATGTACCATCCCAAAACATCCAACCGCTGGTGCTGGTGCTGTTAGAGCTTTCTCTTCCCCACCGCAGGTGGATCAACGTTTTGGAATCCATGCAGATCCCGTTGCTCGGTGAATCACCGACGGATCGTGAACGCGACGTCGATCACCGGCGGCTTTTTGATGGGGTTTCCACTGAGGAGTCGTGCAGGGAGCCAACAGCTGTGTGTGATTGCGCGTGCTTTTTCCCGTTCTTTTTTAAGTTTCTTTTGTTTGGATACAGGGTTTCAGAGTAGATGGCACAATCCCCACGTTTGGTGGTTTATATGAACCCCCATCAAAAGATCCTCTTGGGGTTTGTGCCATCTATTCTGAAACTACTGTAACCTATGGCCAAAAATAGTGCACACCAACCTGATGAGAACAAGCGTGAGGCGTGCTGTACGCATCATGAACCTGCCAGGGATCGCCTTTTTTGTGGCATTTGTTTGGTCAGCATGCACCGATCTGTTGCGGGTTCCATTCCAAGGTTTGCCTTGCTGCCGGTGCTTCACTTCAACTCGAAGGAAGAGTTGATGGGGAAGTTTGTTTTGTCCAACCGGTTCCAGCTGCTGTGCTGGGCTTTGGCAACCTGGCATATATCTCTCGCTCTTTGTGGATGTCTCAAAATGACTCCAAGCAATGGATTGCACTTATTCTTTCTTTGGCTATGGATCTTTGGAGGGTCTTTCCTTTGGAAACAACAACCTCAACACGAGCCTTCATCATTTGCATTCCACTTCTTCTGGACATGGTTCAGCCAACTCTAGACGACTTGGATGCCTGCCTTTCCGGTACCGATCATTCAACGGAACCATAATACATGACATACACTCAATGGGTGTGGTGTGATCTTAAATACGGAGGCCGAAACCATTCAGGTTGGGTCTGGTTTACTGGGAAGGTCTCCCTATGTGTTTTTCTTATCCAGGATCCAGCTTTCCCCACATCAAGTGGCTCGGGCTCAGAGTCTCTTCTGAGTGTCCAGTCGTATGGTCAAGACCGAGGTTTTCTTTTAAGCATCAAGACTCAGTGGAGCGCTGATTCAAGGATCCTTATTGGCGGATGACTTCGGCTTTTTCTCTCATCACCAGCTTTTGCTCATGATTTTCCACATCCCCGGTCCCCAAAAAAGGCCAGGTCTGCCTGGGGGGGCCTGGGAGGCTCCAAAAACGTCCGGTCCCAAAGAGCGCTTCTTCGCCTGTTGGCAAAAAAGAATAGGGGCAACAAAGGGCTCGGAAGGCAGGGTAAGAGCCCCGTTCGTAGCGTCCGATCGCTCCTAAAGCCTCTTGAGGCCATCATCATCATCGTGGTCAACATCAAACTGGTGGCCCAGTTCGCCGCCTCCGACCACGCCTGGGCGACTTGGGCTCCGGCGGGTTGAGACGGTTGGGGAGTGAACTTGCCTGCAACTGAACCATCATCCATTGTTACAGGGATATACCATGATATAAGCATGAGGCTTCTGATATACTACCCAAATGATAGGTCACAGAACATGGCTGTGGGTCGTTCGCTAAAGGGTGGACTGGTCGGGCTCGAGGTTTTGACCCATCCCCATGTGAGCAGCCTCACTATGCAACCATTCTTAAAACAAGGTAATCTTTACTACATTATATAGTAGTCTACGGTGTGCTATATTTGTTTGTCCAACATCAGTATTCCTGTGTGAACGAGATAGGGCCCCCACATAAACGATATATGTTTGATGACGCTGAAGGAAGTAGTCTGAACGAGAGTATGTGACATGACATAACCTCCTCCTACCCGTACTTAAGTAGTCCAAACACGATAATTAGGGCCCCCACACATATAGATAGTGTATTTGAGTTTAGTAATGCATCAATTCCGGCGCTCACATGTGATTTGTGCACATTCCATGGGATTGGCATATTTAGTAGATGGACCATCAGCCCTCCGGGCCGGCTCGGTCGGCCCTCCGAAGCGCCGAACAAGGGTTCCCATCCCAGAAGATCCCAGGCTTCGCGGCGTCGACTCATTTAGAGTGGGCTCCGTCAGGGGAGCTTCGGTCACTGTTTCTTCTGTTTTTTTAACTTCTCAGCCCAAAGTTGATGAGATTTTGAGGACTCCAAAATCTTTGAACTGTTAAATACCAGCACCGCACAAAGGGTGGTTTGTAGACCATGTTTTTACCAGCCAAGAACCATTTTTGGGTGCTGGTCTATGTGCAGGTTGTGTATCTCAAAAATCGGGTATCACCCCAGCTGGCTGACTGAAAGATGAGCTATAGATGCCTAACCCTGACACCTCGCCCGAGATGTCGCCAGGTTCGCGTAGCGGTGGCCATATTCTTCGTGGTCTACGCCACTCTCATCACGCTCACGATTTGGTCCGACCTGGTGCATGCTGCCAAGTCCACCATCCACTGCCTCACTCGCTGCTTCCCGCGGTCCACAACAGGGAGCTGAGTGGCCTTCACAGTTGTTGAGAAGGGTAGGAGAAACCTGCTGGCCTAAGGACAAGGCCCCGCAGAGGTCCAGGGCTTCTCTGTCCTGTCCCGTCTTGTCCGTGACGCGGGAACCGGGCGTCAGAGTAGCTTCCAGCACGGAAGGAAGGATGAGATCCAAAGATGATCTATAGGTCCGCAGCCAACGGAAGGAGATCCCTCTGAACTCTCCTGAGCCCGGAGCTCCAGAAGACCTGGAGATCACCGATGCTATCGCTTCTGTAGATGATCATAAATATGCACACAGAAAGGTATTGAGATTTTGAGTGGTACACCACTTGGCAGAATCTTCCATGTGTTATTGAAAGAAACGAGAACGCATCCAATTGTCCCACCACCGTGCCCCTCTCAAGGTTCCATGGCTGCCGGTGGCCCTGGTAGCAGCAAGAAGTGGCACGGCATTTTGCAGAAGAAGTGCCTGGGCCGCCAAGTGGGATCCTATGGGTCGTTGCTGCCTTTTGCATGAAGGTGAAACGTCTCCGGTCTCCCCTGGAAGTCATCAGAGAGGTGACCGCTCAACTCACTCTTGCTTGTTGATTGCCGTGTTGATGTTGTTTTGTATAGGAGCGACCCTCTGAGCGTGGGGGCACTGTCATGTTTGATCGTCTCATCACACGACCGAAAGATCAACAATCAGTAGAACATTCATGGAATTTCATTGATCTTCGTGTTTAGATATACAACACTCTCATCAAAGCAGTTTCTGACCCTTTTGTTTGGAGGGGGCGTAGAACTCCCAAGTTTCGCAAATTCCATGGCCCTTTCTGTCACTCTCTGTCCTTTCTGTCCCTCGCTGAGGATGGGGATGATGCTGCTCGGCAAAGACCAAGAAGCAAACGACTACACAAACTTGACACCACGCGGGGAGAACATGCACTCAGTTGGAGGAGACCAAAAAGAAACACGCAAGAAAAACAATAACCAGAAGGAGAGACATATCAACGACGACCATAGCAATCACAGCAAATCAACATGAGAAGAATGACAGTGGCCAACAAAAGCACCCTTGACTCACCTTGACCTTAACATACCTTGGTCGCCGTCAAGCCGTTGCCACCAAGCCAGCTGGTCTGAGGTTTGCTATTTGTAATAACTGGTGCCGCCAAGCTGGTATATGTTTCTTATTTCAGCATCTCGACTGAGGCTGAGTGGAACTCAAGGCCGTGGTGGTGCTGGCGGGAGCACCATGAAGATGCGCAAGGCGAGGGTGGCTTGATGGGGGCTTTCTTCCTGCGAGGGTGGCTCCTCGCGGTGGTGCGTTTTCGGTTTGGGCGGCCTTGGGTTGCCTCGTGGGATGGTTGAGGAACAGGAGAGTGGTTGAGATCATGCTGAAGTCAACCTATATCCAGTGCAACAATCCAATGGTGGCTTCTTCTGTAATAAGAACCCCCATCTCAGAGACATGTGCGGGTTAGTGCCATCTACTCCGAAGCAACTGTACACGCGTCTATGCAATTTGGGCAGCTTTGTTTCCACTGAGTGGGGGCCCCGCCGTTCCAGTCCATCACGGCATCACCCTTAACTCTGAGAAGGTCTTCTTTGGTGGCGGGCGTTGAATCAGGACCCTCCTTCGGCGGTTAGAGTGCAAAACTTCACCCAAGATTCCTGAGCTCTTTGACACCATGCCAACATCCCCCATAGTGAGTAATATCAGAGGATCAGAGGAGCCAAGACCGTGCACAACTTCAAAGACAAGAAGAGGCACCCGGCTGAACCCGGCTGAGCCCTGCGAAAACCAGAACTTGGCGGTTTCAGAGCTTAGTGGCTTAGTGTAACCTTACTTCGAATCATTGATCTCACTGACCCATGCGAGTTGAGACCCACCAGATCGAAAAGAACCACGACCACGACGGTGGGCGCCAGCGGTGCGGTTCGACCGGGCTTCCCGGTGCGACCGGTTCGGTGCGGTTCGGCCCGTCCGACCAGGCGAATGCTCCCAATCCTGCGGGGTAGCTTGGTGGCGCATGCGGAGCAGGGGCGGAGCAGTTGAGGTTTCGATTTCGAGATGAGCAAATAAGCTACTAGGAACAAGTGCATCGCTTCTAGTAACAAGTGCCTTACTAGTAGTAACAAGAAGCTATTGCTTTTGGAAGCATCACACAGGCCCTGGAAAATGCCAGAACGAAACGGGATATAAAAGACAAGGTACCAAGAATTTCTTGAGCGGAGCGTCGATTCTTTGCAGAGGAATATTGACTCTTCGCCGGGCTTGGCTTGACCAGGTGTTTCTTTTTAATGCATCAGGTTATCCCAGCGATCATGTGTACAGTATACTATCTTACAGTATTGATCATGGCATCTAATGACATAATAATAATGATTGATGTGTTTTCATTTGAAGCTTGCTAATTTTTGTTGCATGTTCCAAGTATTCAAGGACGTATCAAACATCAACAATTACAATGCCCCTTGTCCATTGTTTTGAACAAAGTACAGAAGGGGATTGCCATAAGCATCCAACCCCCACACCCACACACACACACACACACACACACACACTAACTCCCCCCTATACTCAGGGGGTAGTGTTGTTGGGAGGCTCATGATATTGCAGACGCTGGTCATGCATTGCAGAAATGGATTTCCAAAGTGAGTCATGCCCGATGTGCCCCTGAATGAGGTAGCACTGTCCAGGCCCCCGCAGAAACCTCGCATCAAGTTGAAGACTCGCGCTTTCCTTTTTGGGAATTTACAAAACCAGTGCTATCTCCATACGTAGCTTCATTGAGTGGTGACGGGATGGGATGGTGTCCTGCCAAAAAGTGCCAAGAAAGTAGGGCAGAAGCATGCAAACGAGCCATCAAACGACCTAATTGTATTAATTCTAAGTGGATTCATCGACCCTTCTTAGAGTTCAGGAACATCATGACCACCAGCGAAGAGCAGTTCCACGAAGAGTTGGTGGCCATGGTCTCCCAGGGACAGCGCGATGATGGCAGTGCTACTCGGCTCCAACAAACTGCCGAGCATCGACGATGCAGAAAACACAAAAGACATCGAAAGACCATGAACGACCATGAAAGACCATAAACATGTCCCGAGAAGTCGGGATGATGACTGACCTACAGGCTCATGTTCATCACTAAGAAATCCTCCTGCTTACCCTACAAAAATCACTAGGGTCTATTTGCTCATCGGATCGATTCACCCGACGCCCTCGATCGTTTCAAAGGACCGTTCGTCCGCCCACGCGAGCCGGGCTCCGCGCGGATCCCGCGTCGAGGCGTCGGATCCCAACGCGCCGCCCCCACGCTCGAACCACACCACGAGCCTTCACGAGAACTCGGTGGTGCTCTTCGGTGGTCATGGAGGCGTGGCGTGGTCATGGCGGATGTGTCGCGGTTTGTGATGGAATCCACGAAGATGTCCATCACCTCATGATGCTCATGGGATGGGTGAGAACAGAAGGAGAGGATGAAATTCACCCCCAGGAGAAGAGGTACAGGCATTCCTCCATATTCTATCAATAATCAATTTCTAGTCGGGTGAGAATCAAAGATTGATACTTTCAAAGAGCACTCACTAAGTACTAGCCATGCATCAGCCATCCTTTGAATAGTGGTTTTCTACGAGAAGTCACCCGCATGTGGGCCCTTGCACAGGACTTGACCAAGACTTCACACACCGCAGCCTCGTCACATCGCCTCCGGGGGCTTGCTGAGACCGAGACGCCCAGAGACACCTGGACCTAGCGCCGCCCAGCCGCCCTGCCGAAACGACATGGGGGACCACCAAAACGCAGGGCAAAACCACCCGTCACCGAAACGGCTGGGCCATAGGCGTTGGATATCAACGTCGACCTTTCAACGACACCTGGGTGCTGAACCTGGACAATCAGCGCCGAGGCTTAAGCAATCCGTATACACGTGGAGGAGGATTTGGGAAAGACGTGCTAAGAGACCGGAAGTGCCCGGAACATGAACTTGAATTCGGTGATCGTGGTTTAACGGTTGCACATTTGCCCCGTTTTGACAGCGCTGTTGTGGGCGGGGAGGGGAGTGGGGGGAGTGGCTGGCATCACCCTTCACCGCCAGCTTCAAGATCCCAGCAGCTCCGCCTGCAGTTCCACCTGAGGCGTTGGACGGAGTTGGCGTGCCACGGCAATCCTCCACCGCCCCGCTCGGGACACCAGGCCTTTGCGAAGGATGGCCACTCGGCAGGGCGGAGATGCCGTTCTCAGGGCGGAGATGCCGTGCTCCCAGCGCGTTCGCGCCACGCGTCCAAGACGCGTTGGCGATGGAGTTCAGAGGGGTTGGGTGGATATGGTAGATGGGCGATGTGCTGTGGAGATGAGAGGTGAACTTTTAGATGCAGTGATGGCAGTGGATTGGGAAGTCTTTTTTGTTGAGACAACACTTGGATAGTTATAGTCATAAGAACAGAAAGTGCGTCATGGTGACTGACAAGTGATCTCCTAGACAGAAAGTTTACCTGAACCCGAGCCAACAACTCAAAAGCCTTCACTGGACCTGCCATTTGCAAGAGTCAAGCTCTTGGAAGTGCTGGTTATCATGTCCTGGTGCCTTAGTTCTGGGAGTGACTAGGCTTCGCAGAAACCCTTGAACAGAGGTTGCGTGTACATTTTTGGCGGCTGGAACAACGAGCAGCAGTTCAATGATCTATTCATGCTGGACATCGAGAACAAGGCTGGTTTGGCTTGTGGTCAGGACTTCGACTGGTGGGTAGAGTTGCAATCATGTTGCACAGAGTCGTGCGTATGTTGGTTTGGTACCTATAGCCTATAGGCACTTCGTGAAGGTATTTATATAGAATATGATAGAATGTGAACATGTATGAAACACATGCCTCAAGTGTTGCCTCACCAGAATCCAAGTCATTCAAAATCACCTTCTAAACAAAACAGCTGTTGATTCCCTGGGTCGAATCCAGAGACGGCTTCATTTGCGGTGCATGGGTAGAGAGTCAGAAATGACAGCATCCCACGGCAATCGTAAGGGATGAAGAGAAGGTCATTCAATCATAGGTCATAGATGGTCATAGGTCATAGGTGTTGAAGAAAGTTGATGAACGTTGCATGTTCAGATTTCTTTTGACATACTCCTCCGAAAGCAACTCATGGAAGAGCTTTGGAGGTTCATATTGCGATACACATGGTTCGGCGCTTTGTTCGTATTCCGATGCCAACCCCTCTTGAAGTTGAGGGGACTTCTATGGAGTTCACTCACCTGGAACCGATGCACAGATTCATAGATCTTGCCCCAGCTGAAACTTC